TATGTGGTGCTGAGGAATCGAACCCAGGGCCTTGAGCATGCAAGGCAAGCGCTCTACCACTGAGCCACCTTCCCAGCCCCAACAAGTTCCCTCTGGAAGGAAGCCTCAGCCCTGCTCACCTCCAGGGGCGGACACCTGAACGTTGTATGCATCCACAGGGTTCTGGGGGGCCTTCCAGTGCAGCAGGGCAGACCCCTCCGTCAAGTTCAGCGCACGAAGCTGGGTTGGGCCATCGGGAACTGGGAGAGAGGAGCAGGCTCAGAGGGGTCCCTGCCACTCTCCCTACCGTTAACATTTCCAAGGCCAGCCGCTGGCGCTTGTTCCCAGTCATGCGCCTCCCTTCCGTTCAGCTCCCATCCAAGCCTTGTGTTGTTTTGTTTTTCTTCCTCTTCTTTCCTCTTTTTTTTTGTGTGCCAGTACTAGGACTTGAACTCATTGCCTCTCACTTTTGATCAGCTTTTTTGCTTACAGCTGGCGCGCTGCCACTTGAGCCAGACCTCCAATCCAGCTTTTTTTGCTGGTTAATTGGAGATGGAGTCTTGGACTTTTTTGCCCCGGGGTGGCTTTGAACCTTAATCTTCAGGTTTCAGCTTCCTGAGTTTTATATGCATGAGGCACTGGCGGCTGGCTAAGCCCCAGTTTTCTACGCTCACGCTCCCACCGTCCCCCCTGCCCCTGGTCCAGCCCGTCTCACCTGTGGTGAGGAAGCCTGTGAGCGGCTCACTCTCCTCAAATCCGCGGACAGAGACCACAGTGACCTCATAGCGAGCTCCTGGGATCAGACCCTGGAGCTTCTGGGACTGGGCCCGGCCATCCACCTGCACGCTCTGGGGCTCTCCTGAAAGTGCATTGGGGGTTAAGGTTGCCTGGGAAAGTCAAGTGCAGCTAGAGGGTGGGCAGGAAGCAGGAGAAATGAGGACATGGCAAAAGGGTATCACCTCCATCTGCCAGCTGGTAGGAAACTTTGAAGCTGTCCACCCTGGATAATGGTGGCACCCAGTTGACCTGGGCTGAGGTCTCTCCGATTTCGGTGAATTGGAGGTCTCGGGGGCTCTCCAAAACTGGGGATGTAGGCAAGAGATAATAGTGAGGGAGGGGTAGGGAACTTCCTGCCCTGTCTCTCTGGGCCTCCTGGCTCCTGAAGGGTCCACCCTAGGTCTTAGGAACAGAAGTCACTCTCTAGACCGTCAGAGCCTCTGACTCACCAACCCTCTGTCTGAAGCAGGAGATATCCCACATCACAAGCCCCAAACCCTCCCTTTGGTGTCTCGCATGTGCCCATGATGGGGCCTTACCTGGGCTGAGGGTCCGGGCAGTGCCCTGGATGCTGTCGGCTTTGTGAGGCCCCCGCAGGCCGTACAGAGTGAGACTGTACAAGGTCCCCGGCCGCAGGTCCCGGAGTATGGCCGTGCGCCGTGTCCCCGGGACCACCAACTCCCGCTGTAGCAGCGGACGTGGGTGTGGCTCCAGGGTGCGGGGTGACGGGACCCCAAAGCGGAGCAGGAAGGAATCGAAGGCCCCAAGTGGAGCCTCCCAGTTGAGCCGTAGAGAAATGGTGGTCACATCAGTCACTGACAGCTGGGAGAGCCGGGGCCCTGGGTCCCCCGGGGTCTGGCCAGCAGGAGCTGACCCTGCAAGGAGTGTGTGGGAGAGAAGGGTTGGGAATTATGTGTAACCAGCGACGTGGGCCGGGGTGGGTTCCCTCCACCACCCCACCCTGGCCTTGCTGCTACCAGCAAAGCAGAGTTAGTGAGGGACTTAGCTTGTGTGAGGGCAGAGTCTGGGGCTACGCAGAGGCAAATGAGGAGCCTCCTCCTCCCCGGAGCCTCCCGTGACCTTTGCCTACGATTGCCACTCCCAGCCACCTCCTTTCACACTTCCTAGCCCAGGTTAGGATGAGACCAGCCTGAGGGTACCTGTGATGCCCTCCGCAGAGATGGGCCCCTGGCGCTTCCCTTCATGCAGACCATAGAGGAAGAACTTGTAGGAGGTGCTGGGCTCCAGGCCTGAGATGAGGACTTGGTTCTGGTCACCATCCACGAGCAAGGCCTGGGTCTGCCTATCTGTGTCCTGATACTGGACCACGAAGGAGTCAAACGGGCCCTGGGTCACACTCCACTCGAGGCCCAGAGAGTCTGGCGTTGCTTTGGTCACAGTCAGGAGCCCTAGGCGGGGTGCTTCACTGGGCTCTGAGCCCTCGGGGGTCGGCATTGCCTCTTCTGGGGCTGTGAAGAAGTAGTCCGGGGAGAATGTCAGTGAGGGACATCGGAAGGCTATCCTGTCACTATACCTGGTGGGTCCTGGCCTGGCAGCGTAGTGGAGAGAAGAGAGGAACCAGGGCTTTTCTAGGACCTTCCAATTCTAGAACCTGCTACATCACTGCTTTTTTTTTTTTTTAAGTTGGTCATGGGGCTTGAACTCAGGCCCTGGGCATTGTTCTTAAGCTCTACCACTTTGAGCCACAGCTCTCCTTTCAATTTTCTGATGGTTAATTGGAGGTAAGAGTCTCATGGAGTTTCCTGCCCAGGCTAGTTTTGAACTGTGATCCTCAGATCTCAGCCTTCTGAGTAGCTAGGATGACAGGCGTGTCATTGGTGCCTGGCTACATCAGTGCTTTGACATTGTCTCCTGCAACATTGTCTCCCCAACACTGAGGCCTGTCTCCTGTTTGGGAAGCTGCTGCGGCCCCATTACGTTCTCCTGGGCTCTCGGCTATAGGAGTCCCTGGGTCAGGTACTCACATCCCCTTCCCTGGGGACCCACTGAGCCTCATGTCTAGATGTCCTTGCATCCACCCTTGCTCCACCCTGGAATGCCTATGTGCCTGGCTTGGCACATGCTGGGCCTAGGAGATTCAGCCTTCCTTCTGAGAGCAGCTGAGGGCGGCACTGGCTGGCCAGTGAGCCTGGCGTGTCACCTCAGCCCTTGTGGGGCCAGTGTGTTCTTGGCCTGGCAGATCTGAGGCGGGCATAGGTGGCCCCTGGAAGGGGAGCTGCCACTTCCATTGGCTTCTGTTTCCTCCCGCTGTTTTCCAGTGATTTTCCATTTGAGAAAATGGCCCTGAGTCATTCGTGGTGGGGTTGCCCTATCTGGGCGAGGCCACCGTGCCAGGCAGTGAAAGCGGCTCCGGCGGGACAGTGGGGGGCAGCTACGTGATGGGGTGAGGAGCGTGGGCTCAGGGGGAGCCTCAGCCAGGACCTTCCCTGCCCGCCTTTCCTGCTCCTGTGATTGGGATGGACAGCCTGACTTGGCAGCAAACTTCCTTTCCCCAGGCGCCGGGAGGGACTCCTTCCTTGACCAGGAGCCAGGAGGCTCTTTGTCTTCAGCCCCCTGTGCCCTGCTTGCTAGCACCAGGCCAGTCAGCCTCACCTGTTACTCCCAGGGCAGAGACAGGACCCAAGCGCTTCCCTCCGGAGAGCCCATAGAGCAGAAACTTGTATTTCCTGCCAGGCTCCAGGCCTTGGACAGTGACTTCCCGCTGGTCTGCAGTCACAGGCACTGCCTGAGGCTGACCATCCCTGTCCCTGTACTGGATCAGGAAGGAGTCAAAGAGGCCCTGGGCCACCGTCCATGAGAGCCGCAGCGAGTCTGGGGTCTCCTCTGTCACTGCCAGTTCCCCAAGGCGGGGTGGGGGCTGTGGCGTCTTCTCCAGGGGTGCTGTGGAGAGGATTGGGGACATTTAGTTCAAGAACAGCTTTGGCCTATTTTGGGCCACTCCTGGGAGGTGTGAAGCTGTGGGGAAAGAATCCTGAGAGTGATTCAGGGACAGCCACCTGAGGGCATAAACAGGCCTCGTCTTATCCTGGCTCTCTGGAAGCCACTGTCCTGCCCCGTGCCCTCCCTGCCATGGTCAAGGGCACAATAAATACACAAAAGATCTCCTGGGAGAGAGCGGGAGCTGGGGCACACAGAGGATCTTCACTTCCCCAGGGCAGGATTGTGGCTAGGACCGAAAGAATCTCGGAGGATATTTGAGAGAGGGACACCCCCAAACAGGAGAGTGTAGATGACCAGCGGGTCAGCTCTACAGGACCTCCCCCACTTGCCATCAGCCTAAACTGTGTCCTCATCTATTTCCCTAACCCGGAGCGGACAGCACTGGACCAGGGCAGCAAGAGTTGGGTAGCAAAGAGGCAGAGTTGGGAATATAAAAGGTAATGCAGAGGCCACTAGCCTGTACGGGGGTAACTTTTGATAGATGGCGTTCAGAAAAGCCTAGATGCTTTCCCCAAGTGAGGGTTGAGGAAACAATTATGGAATCTGAGAGCCCCAGGCTCTCAGGTGACTCATGGTCCTGGGGGGGTGGGGAAGGGTCAGTGACCCACTCCACCCATTCCGGGGGGCGGGGGCTGAGTCATGAGCACCAGAACATGAGATATTTCCATAGTCTTTCTGCAGCCAAGCCCTCCCTTACTTTCCACCTCTTGCCTCAGAGTTGAGGTGGCAGGCGGAGGATGGGCGAACTGAGTTAGAGAAGGAGTTGTTCATCACCATCAAGCAGGTGAGGAAGCTGAGGTTTGTTTGTAATAGATGAGGATTAGGACTGGGGATTTCCACACAGATTAGCTTAGTTCAAAGCCTGGACCCTGCAAACGAAATGTTCAGGATTATGGCTGGGTGCTGGGTGTTGGTGAATCCTACCCATAATCCTAGCTACTCAGGAGGCTGAGATCTGAAGATCGCGGTTCAAAGCCAGCCCAGGCAGGAAAAGTCCGTAGACTCTTATCTCCAATAAACCACTTAGAAAACCGGAAGTGGCGCTGTGGCTCAAGTGGTAGAGTGCTAGCCTTGAGCTGAAGAGCTGAGGGACCGCGCCCAGGCTCAGCATTCAAGCCCCACGACAGACAAAAAAAAAAGAAGAAGAACCCAGGGGGTGAGTTCAAGCCCCAGCACCAGCAATCAGTTAAAAAAAAAATAAAAAGAACCCTGGAACGGTGGATGCAGGGAGGGCTGGGGCTCACCTGTAGTGCCTTCTGCAGAGATGGGGCCCAGCCGCTTCCTGCCTGCCAGGCCGTAGAGCAGGAACTTGTATTTCCTATGTGGCTCCAGACTCGGGACAGTGACCTCTCGCTGGTCTGCTGCCACGGGCACCACCTGGGGCTGCCCATCCCTGTCCTTGTACTGGACCAGGAAGGAGTCAAATTCCCCCTCAGGGACTGTCCAGGACAGGCCCACGGAGTCCGTGGTCACATCTGTCACTGTCAGCTCCCCCAGGCGGGGAGAGGGCTTTGTGTCTGGCACTGGAAAGCAGAGAGAGATGCATGAAGAATGTCAGAAATGATGGCAGCAGAGACCCCTGCTCTGGGGGTGTGGAGATTCTGGGCTCCCCTGGGAGGGGGAGAGGTGACTGGGCCAGAAGTAGGGATAGAAGATCCAGCAAGGAAAGCAAGTGTCCCCTGGACACTTCTCTAGGGACAAAAGGGAGTGGGGGGAGGGTAGGGGAAGAGGAACTCAGGATTTAAATTTCAAGGGATCTGGTAAATAAAGGGTCACAAAGTCCTTAGGTCTGGAGTATGGGGCACAGGAATGTCAAATTCCAACAGTTGCCACAAGGGGCAAAGGCTGGCCAGGAGCTCCAGGGCCGAGGGGGAGGGGGTGGGGGGGCCTAGATCCCTACTCACTGGTCTTTGCTTCCACAGAAATGGGGCCACGGCGCTTCCCATCCTGGAGTCCAAAGAGCAAGAACTTGTACTTGCGGGATGGGTCCAGACCAGAGATGGTGGCCTCACGCAGGTCTCTGCTCACGGGCACTGTCTGGGGCTGCCCATGTGCATCCTTGTACTGAACCAGGAAGGAATCGAAGAGGCCCTGGGCCACAGTCCAATATAGGCGCACGGTGTCAGAAGTCACCTCTGCCACCGCCAGTTCCCCAAGGCGGGGCTCCACTGGGGGCTGTGTGGGCAAGGAGGCTGAAACAGAGCAGAGGAAGCTGCAGTGCAGCCCAGGTCCTGCCGAGGGAAGGCTGGCTCCCACCCCGGCCCTTTCCCCTTGCACCCCTTTTTTTGGTAAAGCTTTCTGAGCTCTAGGAATTTCTGTAGGCAACTCACACCCAGGAGCCAAACGTCACCAGTGTGGGAAATAGGTGCAGTAAGACTGTCTCCCTAAGTGCTCTTAAAAGCACATAGCTAGTGTGGAGTTATTTGGAGGCACATAAGATCCAGGCAGCTTGAAGCTGAGCAAATTGTAGTGACTAAAACACAAGGGAGCTGAGGTCTGTCTGTTCTATCAGGAGCTGAATTTACAGCAATGGAAGGAAAAAAGTCAGTGTAAATAGGGTAGAGAGAATCTTCCTCCCCTTCTAACTTCATGAGCCCTCCTTCCATTGAAAGATGTGCTAGATTATTAGCAAAATCCAGAAAACCAGAAGCCTAGTGCAAGAAGCGTAGGGCAAACACTGGGTAAGAGGTGCTGACACCTGGACAAGGACAAGGTTCACCAGAGGGAACCAAGGAGGAAGGAGCCTTCCTTCACTCACCAGTCACTCCCACGGTGGACACGGGGCCCACGCGCTGCCCTTGGTGGACCCCATACAGGTGCATCTTGTATTTGCGCCCAGGCTCTAGGTCTCCAATGGTGGCCTCTCTCTCCTCAGCCTCCACACGCACCACCTGGGGCCGCCCATCACTGTCCTTGTACTGGACAG